ATATATATATATATACGTGTGTGTGTGTGTGTACATAATACATACACACACATACATATATACGATTAATATATTTATATCATATCACAATTAGGCTTAATTACAATGAATTAAATTAACGTTGGCACAAACAACTATTAATAATTTCTTTAATATCATCCAAAAATTCAGGAAAAGTATTTTCATTAGAAAATTCACGAAATGCTTGGATCCTTTCAGTCTTAGACATTTTTGTCGATAGAAATCTCTTGACGCAACAAATTTTAAGTTCATAACAAGAATTATTTCTAGCCCAATTCCATGCTCGACTGAAATTTTCATGACTAAGCATAGCTATTGAATTTGCCGTTAAAGTATCCGTAATATCAGACATTAAAAATTTATCTGCTAATAAGGCAGCATCTAAAAGTGATTCTATAGTCGTATTTTGCAAAGTAGCACCGTTCATAGCTGAAATTAATACGTTTAGTCCTTCCTTCGACGTATTTTTCAATTTAACGCGTCTTTTTCCAGATTCAGAAAAATTTCCTTCGAGCATAGCGGAAAAAGCATCTGACTTTTGACACAAGGTTTTTCTACATGCGTCAACCGTTGTACCATCATCTAATTCAAACGTAACAATTGACGGCTTTGGAAGACATTCGTAAAGTTTTGGATAATCGGTTGTAACCGTATCTGGTATTAAACCCTTGTCGTTGAATTCAGGGCGAATTTGCAATGTATTTGCCAATTGGCAAATTGACCAAACAGCATTCTCGTTCAAAGCGTGTTCTCTATCGTTTAATATATCTAATATTAATTTTAAACCGCCATTATTGTTTAATAAAAATTTTAAATGAACTTTAGACTTAATTATAAAAGGTATTGATATAGCGACCATTGTCTTGTGAGAATCCTCCCCACGAATTAATATAGAAGTAAGCTCTCCTATGACCCCACCGGTTTCTCCTAAAGCGCACAGTTGTCGAGTGTAATATTCCGAGCCATATAAAGTTTGGGCTTCAAAGGCAAAACCTTGTTTGACCAATGGAATTAAATAAGCGCTATTTCTAAAAAAAGAAAACCATTTAAACAATTAATACCTCTTATCTATCATTTATCATATTTATTAATTAATATTATTAATCTTCTTATTTACCTTAATATTCTTGTAAGTATTTTAGAAGCTTTACAATTTTTGGAATACCGAATGTACGAAGATAATGGTCCAATTGTCATAGGATCAACTAATTTTTCTATAGGCTCGCTAAAAAGACTCAATCTGTTTAATAAAGCTAAAGTCCACGCACTTGTGTATTCGGAAGAAGTAAACTTATGAAATGTTCCTGAGTCACGAGATTCATCTTCTTCGATCGGTAACGATTTACAGCTTTTTAAGGATTCAACCTCTTCTTGTGGTTCTGTATAAGATAAAACGTTAAACGTACATTATTAAATAATATTTTCAAAAGAAATTCTAAATTAACAGATAATAGAATCTTGGTCAAAGTATTAATATACATATACCTTCTTCATAATTTTCCCATTCTGTGTCACTACAAACAGGACTATAATTATCTTCCGCATTTTCATCCGTTTCCGCAGAATCATAAAATGGTAATGGTGGTGTACTAGAAGGAGAAGAGAAAAAGCTTGTCGAACTAGACGGACTCCAATCGTCTTTAGGATAATCTACGCTGAACCTGAAAATTATATTTTCCTTGTTTATAAATAAATAATCACATAAAGATAGTAATTAATAGATCAAAAATAAGTAAATAATAACACTAACCGTCCTATCTCTGATTTTAAATATTTTAAACTCATCTTTCTATCCGAAGACGATAAATAATTTCGTTTCGTAGATATTTCTTGTTCTTTTCTATTTTCCAATGCATTTTCAACCATTTTCTTTAATTTAACGTTCAGCACGTCGAATAATCCATTATTAATCATTATTAAAATACTTTGATCGTCGTATATAAATTGTGCGAGAGCGTGTAATAACGTAGGATGATATTGTTCCATTTCGTTTTTTCTTAAAAACGTGAGCATGAGTTCCAAGCCAGCATTGTTTCTAATTTTAGCACGATTAACCGATTCTCGACAAAACATACATAAACTCGCTAATAATTCTTTGGGGACTTTTGAATGTTTCTCCATTAAAGATATTAAAATTTCTATCGCTCCTGAAGATCCAAGATTAGGGCGACATTCTGCTATTTGGCTAAGATTACAAAGGCATTTAATAGCCAATTTATTATTTCTATTACAACCGTCGACGATGCATTTGTATCCTTCTAAATCTTTTTCTCCTTGCATTTGTTCTCCGCAACGAGGATCCAGACAGATAAGAAATGCACACATAGCTTTTAAACATACTTCTATTAATTCTGTATATTTTATACTTACAATAGCTTTGTTATTAGCTATTATTAATAAGCCTGTTATATTTTTAATTATACCCGCTTCTAATACGTCTTCTCTACAACCTTCATGCATACTCCAAATATTTCTATAACAGAACAAATTAATAATATTAGTATCTTAGTAAAATAATATGTAACGTTAAAAACATTGCAATTAGATTCTACTAAAATTATTTACCTTATCGCTCTGATTACCATTAGGCAAGTTTGTGTATTTGTTTTAGATTGTAATAATTTAGAAAGTTCCTGTATCGAACCAGCTTCGTACAAAGTTTTAGCATGCCAGCTGCATTCGCTTAGATTACCGATTAATCTACAAGCACGACATTGAAGAGCACTGTCCGATTTTAATTTTTTTATTATGCAAATTATATAATATCCTATTCTAGTTCCTTTAACCTGAAATAACGTAAGAAAAAATAAATAAATAAATGAACGAATAAATAAGTATAAAGGAAGTTAAATTGTTCCATGAAATTATAATATATTGGTATTTAAAATTATGTTAAAAATATATGAAACGATGTTTACCTCTTCTCTAGCATCAGAAATTAAGCATGCGTTTGCTAATAAACTTAACGTCATATTTAAAATTTTCAAATCTTGAGACCTTAATAATTTAATCAAAATACTAAGACCACCATCTTTAACAAATTGTCTATAGCATTTGGAGTCGGTTTTCAGTCGTGCCAAACAATTAGTGATACCACTTTTGGAATTGACTTTTAAGTACTTCGATAATTCTATAAGAAGTGAATGATCTGACTTTTCATTTGGCGATGACATTTTATGAAAATACCTTTAAATTTATTTAAAATTGTACTTATTATAAATAATACATAACCTCAAAATAGTTGCACTGTTGCAGATTGACAAATGCTAGAGTGGGTACAGCACATGTCAAAAATGAAGGTAATAAGATTTTACTTTTTCAACACAATTCGACGATTATCATGCTTCATTTTATTTTTTTATACACGTAAAAATGATAATAATATATTATTCATCATTTCTTCTATAAATTTCAAAGTTTTTTATAATTATTACTTTTATTTTCTTTGGATATTTTCAAAATAACCTCCATTTTTTCATAGTACTCAAAATTGATGCAACGTGGCGCTATAAAAATAATCCGAACGAGTATTTGGTTGGAATTATTTAAAATCGGATCTACCTTATATAATATGTCATAATTATTCATAATCCGTGCATAAAAGTCATTTTATGATTCATCATTATTTCTACAGTTTTTAAATATACAAATATTTGAATCTTTTCAATTGATTTGATCTAACGTAAAAACGTGAATTAAAATAATAAAATAGATAGAATTCGTAATCATAAATAATATTTGAATAACATATCTCTCGCGCGTTATTAATAGAGAAATATTTCAATGATGATTCGGCAATTCTTACGTAGGATAATTAAATAATTCGAAGGTATTAAACTCATTACATACATATACATGTATCGTTTAAATTCATCGAGAAGTTACGATAGGTTATATCTTTTTTAATAATGATCCTTTTATTGATTACGTAATGGAAATACCTTAAATAAAATTCAAATTAATTTAGTGAATAATGTTTGCAACGATTGGAGGAAAGGAGGGTCATTTATTACACGGTCGAAAAATAATGGAAAGATTGTTCATATAAATAAAAGTGGGACGGATCGGGGGTAGGTGGAGAGGATAGAAGGATAGGTAAAGGGGAAAAGAGAAAGAGGGAAAGAGAGTGGGAGATAGGGTTGGAAGAACACGTAATATATTTGTAACGAGCGGATATTCCAGGGATTAAAAAGGCCCTCCTACTGTGACCAAAGGGAAATCCCAATTTGATTTACATTAGTTGTTATAATTCTCTTTTTCTGATCTAGGTCTCGTTTGTCCCTGAATGAATGAATATTAACTGGGAGTAAATAAATCTAATATGGCGGAGGCGTGAAAAATGTTAGGAAGAATAATAAGAAGAAGAGTAAAAGAAGAAGAAGAAGAAGAAGAGGAAGAAGAAGAAGAAGAAGAAGAGGAGGAAGAGAAGGAGGAGGAGGAGCAGGAGGAGGAGGAGGTGGAGGATACGAGAGTAATCGGATTGTGACCTAAGCGGGGTGTAGACGACATCGTGCGATGTCGACAAGATGACAGCGGCTCTACGATGTTCAAAAGCTTAATTTTTAAAAGCGATATTACTAAATTATCGTTGAAAGAACAATTAATTGTAACGTGAGATTTATTTTCGCGTCTAAATTCTAGTGCATCTTCATTATTATTATTATTATTGTTGTTATTATTATCTTCGTCATCATCATCATCATCATCATCATCATCATTATCATCATCATCATCACCATCACCATCACCATCACCGTCAACGTCAACGTCGTTGTCGTATCGATAAGATTTACGGTTCGTAAGGAATTAAAGGGAGAGACGCGTGACTATGATTGCCGCGCCCGTGTGTGAGATGTATGCAGCATTCTAAGTTAGTGTTGTTATTTTCCTTTTCTTTTTTCTTGTTTTCTTCCTCCTCTTTCTTCTTCTTCTTCAACAACAACAACGACGACAACGACGAGAAGCAGGGTATTAAACGATGAGCGTTTTCGGAGATTTTCAGCGCGTCTGGGTACAAAGATTCCCGGATAGCGCATTACCGGCTGCTTGGGAGGAAGATGTTAGAGCTAATTTGGTTAAACACAAGCAAAAGGTAACTCAATTTTACTTGCGTATTTATGATAACAATGATATATATATATATATATATCGGTGATGTTTACTTACTGATAAGAGTAATCGTTTAGAGTGGAATAGTTCCATTCCTATTACATGCTGACATTAACAAGTATTTGTTTTATTTTCGTTATTAGGTAACAGCGTTGAGAGAAGAATTAGAGAAAGAAGAGTTCTATGTAGAGTATTTGGAACGATTATTAGCCGATGTTGAAAGACACAAACAGTTGGCTAATAGTACTAACGCTACGCTGCTTGACAATAAGCAGAATTCAGGAGAACCTCAAAGTGGAAAGCATGTATCTGATAACATAGAATCTGCTAATATCGGGCATTGTCAAAATACGGATCATTCTCCGCCACCTCTTCCAGTACGAGAAGACATTAGCAAATTTCAGGATAAATGTGTTTCCGAATTGAGTTCTACACTTGGAACTAATAAAAGACCTAAGAGCGAG